CCCAGCACCATTTGCTGAAGAGACTGTCTTTATTCCATTGGATGTTCTTTCCTGCTTTGTCAAAGATGAGTTGGCCATATGTTTGTGGGTCCATTTCTGGGTTTTCTATCCTGTTCCATTGATCAGAGTGTCTGTGTTTGTGGCATAAAAATTGGGATTTTAAAAAATGATTATTTATTTTTGTTAGAATGCAGGCAGGGGAGGGGCAGAGAGGATGGGGGGGACAGAGGATCCGAAGCAGGCTCCACGCCGACAGCAGCGAGCCCGATGATGGGCTCAAACCCACAAACCCCAAGATCACGACCTGAGCCGAAGTCAGATGCTCAACCAACTGAGACACCCAGGTGCCCCCCCAATTTTTTTTTTTTATAGTTGCTTTGTTTGGATTAAGACCAAACGTGGCAGTAGCTTTGAAGTCAAAGGTGCAACTGAGGTACAGCCGAGTCTGAGCGACCTGGTGGCTGTGCCCCATGGCAGGGTCTGGGCAGCCTCGAGCCTGGGGAGCACCATGCATCTTAGTAGGGTGGCTGGTGGGAAGGGGACCGACCCAGGTGCGTGACCTCGGGCTTGGTCTAGGCCACTGTCAGTCACCAGAGGGTGCTGAAATCTGGGAGCCGAGTCCACACTCAGGAGGTTAGGGGCATGGTAACCTTGAGAGCCCCAGGAGTCCTGGGTCTGAAACAGGCCCCCAGCCTGCAGGGGCAGGAGAGGCAAGCAGAGAATTCGGCCTTCGGAGAGGGGGCCCAACAAGGTGTTCAGGATCCAAGCAGCAGGTTGGGGATTCAGGACCAGATGACCTCCCAGCAGGGAGGAGTGCACAGATGTAGAACCAGGATGGAAGCCGAGACCCCTGCCCTGGGCTGTGCGGACTGTAGCGGGAACAAGTGGTAGCTGGGCTAGACAGATGTCTGAGTAGGGGAGGGCTGCCCGCAGGCAGGTGCCGGTCTCAGTAAATCCTGGGCCCCCTAGGGGTTGGGGCTCCCCCTCCCACCTCCTGCCTGCCTTGACCAGCATTGACTGAGTAGCTGAGCCTACTGATTAAAGTTCTCAGTCCCAGAGATAGAGTGTCAGTCAGGATTCTCTTGGTAGCAAAGAACAGAAAACCTAATTAAAACGGACGTAAGCACAGGGTGACTCAGTTGGTTGAGCATCTGACTCTTGATTTTGGCTCAGGTCATGATCTCATGGTTTGTGCCTTCGATCCCTGCATCAGGCTCCATGCTGACAGTGCTAGAGCCTGCTTGGGATTCTCTCTCTCTGCCCCTCCCCTGCTCACACGCTCCTGCACTCTCTTTCTCTCTGAAAATAAATAAATAAACTTAAAAAAAAAAAACTGACATAAGCACAAAAGAGAGTTCATCAGCTCTTGTAACAAGAGAGTATAGGGAATCTGGCTTCAGGCATGGCAGGATCCAGGAGTTCACATGATGTGGTCCAGAATCTACCTCCCTCTACCATGCATCTCTCCTTTCCTCTATGTTGGCTTCATCCTCAGTCTCCAAGGGGTGGCACTTAATGGTGTCAGACTCCTTATTACATCAGCCCTTGCAGAGATTGTCCTCCTGAGAGGCCCAGATCTAGGACACGCCGGCCAGGCAACCTGGGGTGGGGTTCACGTTATCCCTCTGAAGAGAGGTTGGGGGAAGGACGGATGCCTGGTGGAAAACTGAGGTACTCTCTCCACGAGAAGGGAACACGTGGGAAATGATATCCAAACGAGGTCTTTTTGCTTTTTCTCCAAGAACACAGAAGTCACGTGCCGTCGGACAAATTCATCGGCTCCCAGATCTAAACCTTCCCCAAAGCTTAACTTCTGAACCGAGCTTCCTTTCATCCTGGCCCCCAGACGCTTGTCTTTGGCATTTCTGCCCAGCAGTCCACGGACCCTCCCAACTCCGCATCCCCGAGCCCAGGCTGGTCTCTCCCAGCCGGTCTGGTCCCCTGCTCCCTCTTGCGGCCTCCCACCCCTGAGTCCTCCTCTTCTCCCTCTGCCCCTCGCTGGGCATTCCTAAGTCCTGCTATTTCTGTGGCCAAAACCTGTCTCCTTCAGGACCCAGCTGCTCCTTCGGCCCGCAGACCCCCGAGCGAGAGGCCCCCCATCTCCCTCTCTACTTGCTTAGCCTCTCAGCCCTTAGCCTCATCAGCAGGGGCTTATCGATCGCCCACACTCCGCTGTTGTGCTGGGGCCAGGAATCAGATGCGCTGTCTACGCCTGCCAGCTCACACCCAGCGGCATCAGAAACGAACCACAGTTCAACGAGGCCAGTGCGGTGACATGGGATGAGTTGGGGCATGAGCCGGGGACCTCGCAGCTGCAGGAAGCCTCCAGGGAGAGTGGCACAGCCCCCTGCCGTGACCCCTCCCTGGTCCATCCTGGGAAGAAGGCCACCACGGAGGCTGTGTCCCCGGCCAACCACAGGCCGCTCGCAGACAGATTTCAGCCGGCTCCCAACGGCCTTTGCAAAATTCTTTGCGTTGCCAACTTTGAAAAATTGGGCGGTTTTACATGAAAATGGGGATTTTCGACTTTTATTGAGAAAGGAAGCTGTGGCGACCCCAGGCCACATCCGCACCTGGGAGCTGTGGCAGAGCTCCATCACGGCGCCACCGTCCTCCCCGTCCCTGCTAGTCTCCCCGGCACAGTGACACGGGCATCACACCATGTCGCCCCTCCCACGTGCGATGCTCCCCCGGACCCTGCACGCATGTGCGTGCGTGTGTGTTGCGGACCTCCCCCGCTCCCAGCCCCCCAGACCGGCCCCTCTGGCTCTTCCGTCCTTGTCCAACTCTTCTCTCCCTCTGGTCTCCATAACACTGTCCTCTTCACTACGCCTTTGCTCCTGCTGTTCCCACAACCTGGAGTGCCTAGCCCATCTTATTTTAAAAAAAATTTTGTTTAACGTTTATCCATTTTTGAGAGAAATCAAGTGCAAGTCAGGGAGGGGCAGAGAAAGAGGGAGACACAGAATCCAAAAGAGGCGCCAGGTTCTGAGTTGTCAGCACAGAACCCGACACGGGGCTCGAACTCACCAACCGCGAGATCATCGCCTGAGCTGAAGTCAGATGCTTAACCCACGAGGCCACCCAGCCTGTCTTATCACAGACCCCGCCTTTCGGGGACGTCAGGGTCCTTGTGTCTTCACACACAAGCCTCCTGCGCGCCTCTAGCCTGCCCCCGGCCTCTTCTAGCATCTCCGGCCGCACCCTTCCAGGCACCAAGTCACATGCTTCCCCAGGTGTTCCTCAGTTTGCTGAGGCTCCGATATCCCCAGCTTGTGTCCCCTGGTCAAATCCGCCCCGCAGGGGGTTGTACAGCTTGTGGACCACTTGACGACATTTGAAAATTGGCTCTGGGTGAACTGGCCACATTGCCCGTGTGCCTCGGCCCAGAGGTAGGGGAGTCCTGACCTGAGACAGGGAGAGTGATACTAAGCCCCACGCTAGAGTGGATGGGACTCTTCCTGTGCCTGCTGCCAGCCTCTGCCTGGAACAAGGGGAGCAGGGAGTCTCCCGGCCATGTTAGCCCTGAGTAGCAGCCTTGGCAGGTGCATACATCCGGGGCGGTAGAATGGGTACAAGACCATGATGGTAGCTTACATTTCGTGAGCACGTACTGTGTGCCAGGCAGTAGGCAAAGGGACTTTGCATGTATCAGCCCAGTTCTTCCGTCCAGCCATCCTGTAAGATGGGTATGGCGTGATGGGCTCCATTCTACAGATGGAGAAACTGAGGCACTGAAAAGCAGAGCATCTTGCCCGTGGTCACATGACTACCACGCGGTCTGGTGCCCATCACATGGTCCTGCCTTTCAGTGGAGACTGTGGTCACCGGAGACCTGTGCCCCATCAAGGCAGTGGCCACTGCCTTTCAGCCCTGGCCACATGATGCCAGATGGCCTCAATGTTCAAGAGAGGCCGGAAATGCACATTGTTACGTGAAAGCTCCCAATTTGTAGATCTTATTGACTCGTTCTGAAAATTTTAACTGCTCCGGGAGCCAGCCTGGCACAGATTTAGCCATAGAGCTGCTTGTGACCCGATCTGTCAGGTCCCGTCCACGTCTGTTGTCCTGAGTGTGTGACGTTGGAAGGGTCAGAGTGCTTGGCCCAGAGCCCGGCAGGTACTAGGTGCTTGTTAAATGTCATGGTGCCTCACCGTCTTCTTCAAGTTTCTCCATCACAAAAATGGTTTTCATTGTCCTTCTTCTCAGGGGACATGTGAAAGGCCACTGAGATCTCTTCCCCATGAAACATTCAAGTTCAGGTGCTCCGGGAAGGAGCACGTTCAGTTCCCAGAGCTAGGCCCCAAGATACCTAGGGATTGGGCCTCTTCCCTGTCCTTGAAGATCTCACATCCAGGTGAGGACAGGCACGCACATGTGGACACTCAGCAGCTGAACGTCCCCACACGTTCAGCTGCCCACATCCAGCTTGTAAGCCCAGCTCCGAGAGCCCAGAGGAGGGGAGGAGGGCCGAGGGGTTCCTGGACGAGTCAGCCCCTGAGCCAGGTCCCGAAGCCTGCACGGTGGGTCCCGGGCAGCAGTGGCTCAACCCCAAAGCCCCCCTCACCCCCGCCCCTGATAAGCCTACTGTCAGGGTAAACCCCTCCCGGTCCGCCCAAATCCCCTAGCTCGTGACAGAGCCTACGGAGTGGGACCTTCAGGATGGCCCCCCCAGGCTGCCCATGAATGAGGCCCAGCCATCGTGCCTCTGGCCCAACTTCAGTTGGGTGCCCAGGGAAGGGTCTGCTCTCACGGACCCTCCAGGGCATTCAGCATGTAGGCCCAGCCAGGGCTGGCTCCAAATGTCATTCTGCCGGCGGTGCTTCAGGCAGGTGTTTGTCTCTGGGGAAAGCACTTCATGAATGCAAATACCCACGGAGCTGCACCGCCATTAATCTTTGCTGAGCAGTCGTGCGCTCATTGGAAGGGGTATGTCACTCGACACCGGGGCCACGCGGGGAATTGGCCTTGCAGAGTCAGTCAAATGACTTAGATTGGAATAATATTAATACCGATGTGTTAAAAATGCATGACTGTCTCAACATGGCTGGTTCTCGGCGCCTGTAAAGAAGGAAGATACAGAAGGACGACAAAGTCGGGATGTGGACGAGGAAGGATGTTCCCACAAATCACATGCCAACCGTAGGGTTTCACGAAGTGTCCTTTTGAAAACCCATTACGGAAGGGGTTTGAGGCAGCATCGACAGGGGCATAAAGGTAACTCTAGTTAAGCAAGGAAGAAAACATGAGCACCAAGGAAACAAGCATACACACACACACACACACACACACACACACACACACGTGCGCGCACGTGACTCTTAAAGATTAAGGCGGTAGGCAAAATTTCACCCTGGACTTCTTGGAGGCCAGGCCAAAGCGGGAAACAGTCAGGACTAAAGGGCTGCTTATTGGAAAGGGAGGAAGCAGCCTGGTTCTTTAGAAGCGGGAGAATCTTCTCCGTATATCCACGTCCAAAGACATACCACATACAGAGCTTTACTGCGGGGACCCCGAGCAATAGGGACGCGCAGAATCTTCCACACTGCACGCGTGCATCTCACATGGTGTCTAACCCCGCCCCTGAGCTGCAGTGACGGGGACATCAGTATGTACATAGATACGGAGAAAAAATCTGGAAGGGCACATGTGCACACACTCCCCACCCCGTGCCCACAGTGATTGCCCCCGGGGGTGAGGAGGGAGCCAGGGTGGGGACGGGAGAGACTGGGTCCACGGGGACTTACTAAAAGCTAGACGTGGAGTCAGAGCTCCAGCCAGGGCAGGGGATTCTGCCCGTGGCCAGACCTTCTCTGGATCTAGCTTGACCCCAAGGGAGATGCCAGGCAGAGTGGCTAACCGCCCGTGCGCATCAGCTGCGTGACCTCAGGGAAGGCTGAGCCTCACTGTCTTCATCTGCAAGATGGGTCCTAATGCCCACCGTGTGGATTTGCTCCAAGGGCTGCGTGAGATGATGCAGCCTTTTAGTTTCTTCACCCTTGGAATCCCCGGAGAAGTGACCACTGCTTGGTTCCCCGGCAGGGAGCCCACTCTGGTGATCGTTGGACCAAATCCACCCACAGATGCTGCTTCTTTGGCCGCAGAGTGCTGGAAACGTCTCAGATTTAAGCACCATCAGGCAAGGCCTGAGCCTCCCAGCTCCCCACGCCCCCCATCACGCCCTGAGGTCCTACGTCAGTGCATCTGTCTCCCACCTCCCTGGCCCCTGCGGGCATTTGACGGTGCACCTGCTTCCCTCCTTCTGTCCCCGCTCCGCCAGACGCCTTGGAGAGAGCTGGGGCAGCGGACGGCTAGAGGTCAGGCGGTGCTCCGGGCCGTTCGCGGAACGTACACGAACACCCTCGGAGAGCCGGCCGTCTCATTATAAGAGCCGCGGTGCCCACCTCCTGGCCGTGCCGGACCGAAAGCCCTCTCCCCACCACCCCCTCCCCTCTTGCAATGAGAGTTTCTGTCTCACCAGATGTTTCCGTGGCGGTAATTGTGCAGAACTAGTCATTGGAGCTGCCCGTGCTGTCCTCCTCGAATGGCTCTTTCCTGATTAATTCCCAGCACGCGCTTGCTCTGTGCCTCCGCTAAACAGAGAACACATCCATATAAACATGTAAAAGAGTGGTTTGAGAATCGACTTTTCTGACAGTCGGCAAATAGTAGCCTGCCATCCTGCAATTGGATGATTGAAGCCGGGTTCCCGTGGTGTAGCATGGGCTTGAGGGCCCCTCGCTCTAAATTGCTGCGGAACCTCTGCAGCGGTAGCTTGGTGAACTAGAAATTTAGTTAGAGCTTACTCGCCCCGCTTCCGGAAGGCAAAGGGCGGGGAATGAGCGTAGATGGACACCCCTGGGGTCTCAGATCCCGTACCTCAAAAGCAGATCAGAAGCCAAAGCGAGGTGGAAAATGATCCAGCGGTGAAACAACAGGCCACCGTTTTTCTCCGATCAGATTTGTTCTCAGAACGTCGTCAGAGAACAGTGCCATCCTGGAGAAAAGTACCTGCGTTCGGGCACTTTCAGTTCCAAAGTCAGTGTTGAGTGCCAGCCGTGCGCCAGGTACCTGCTGGGCCCTGGGATGGGATTGGCGGGGCCTCCGCTGTCTTGGGGCTGGAGTCTGAGTGGGGGAGACCGTAGCTAAGCTAAAGAGCTGATAAACATGACCATTTCAGAGACAGGAAGGAAATCAAACAGGGCGATGGGAGAGACAGGGGGCCGGATGGGGTGAGGGCTCGAGAGAGGGGCAGGAAGATCTCTCTGGGGACAAGGAAGAGCCCGCCTTGCAGGCATCTTGGACGAGACTGCTCCAGCCCAGCCCACAGGTCCCAAGGTGGCCGTGAGCCCTGCGGGATGACGGAGCAGCCATCAGACCTGTGTGCTGGGAGTGGAGGGAGGAGGAAGAATGTGATAGGAGCCGGGGCAGAGGTCCGCAGGGGCCAGATCACATAGGCCTCGTCGGCCCCCGAAGGGCACTGGAGTTAAGCAGGGGGTTGCCATGACCTGTTAAGTTACTTCAAAACAAAGCAAAACCAAAAAACCCCTGGCTGCTGGGTAGACAATCAAGTGTGTTTGTCTTGTGGGGGGCACGGGCACAGCAGAGAGGAAGCAGAGGCCGGGTAGGAGGCTGTGGTCATTGTCTCGGGGAGGATGGCGGCCACATGGGCTGGGGGGCAGCAGTACATTCAGAGACGAGAGGGCCGAGATTCAGGAGGGGTTTTGGAGGGAGCCCCTGGGGACTTGTGACATAAGAGAACGAGAGGAATCAGGACTCCGAGGTTCAGGCATCCCCTGACCGTTTTTAAGATGGGCGAAGACCAGGTTTGGGAAGAGGGAATCAAGAATTCTTTGGGGGGCAGGGGCGCCTGGCTGGCTCTGTTGGTTGAGCATCCGACTCCTGATTTCAGCTGAGGTCGTGATCCCAGGGTTGAGGGATCGAGCCCTTTGTCGGGCTCCGTGCTGAGCGTTGAACCCTCGTGAGATTCTCTGTCTCTCTCCCTCTGCTCCTCCCCCCACCCCCTACTTGTGCACTCGCTCTCCAAAAGAAAAGAAAGGACTCTGTTTGGGGCATGTTAAGGTTGGGACACCTGTTGGATATCCCAGAAGAGAGGTCATGCGGTCACTTGGCTTGCTGGAGAGTTCGGGGTTGGAGATTAAAATAATCAGGAGTCAAAAAATAAAAATAATGTAAATGAAATAATCAGGAGTCATCAACGTGATGATGGTATTTAGGGCCATGGGCTTGGATGAGACCTCCTAGTGAAAGGGTGCAGAGGAATCCGGAGGCCTAGGATTGAGCCCTGGGGCAGCCGAAGAGGAGGATCAACAAGGAGCCTAGGGCTGCAGCAGTGAGAGCTGGAAGCAGGGGAGAGACCAGGGGAGCGCAGGGCCCAGGAGCCTGGTAAGGAAATCTACCGAAGGGGAGTAAGCCGTCGCCCCAACTGAGGACCGCACATCTCCCAGGGGATCCGGCAGCCCGCTGGACCCTTCAATTTATTGTCCGAACTGGGACACTTCAGAGGGTGGAAAGTGGACTTTATGAGTGATGGCACCAGGACAACAGGAGGAAATCCCAATTGTCCCAGACTAACAAGGAGGCTTCACCCCTCCCCAGGGATTGGTGCCCTTGCCAAGCAGGGGACCACGTAGAGGTGGAGGCAAAGGCCAAGAGGGAAGGCAGGGAGGCGCAGCCATGACAGTGACCCTCAGAACTGAACAAATTGTGGGGCATCCCTGCAGCAGACCACTCCTCAGCAATTAAAAGGAATAAAACTACTAATTCACACAACACAGGGAACCTCAGTTATGCTGTGTCAGAGAAGTCAGCCCAAATAGTGCAGGACTCCTTTTATACAAAAATTCTAGAAAAATGCAAAGTAATCTGCAGTGACAGAAAGCTGACGGGTGGCTGCCTGGGGGTGAGGGGAAGCGGGGAGGGTAGGATTCCAAAGGGGTACAAGGAAATTTGGGGGTGATGGAGGTGTTCCTTAGCTTGACTGCGGAGCTGATACACAGCGTATACAGGTGTTAAAGCTTACCAAGCTGTATGCTTTAAACACGCATGGTTTACTGTATGAAGTATGTATTCTCTCATAAAGCTGTTTTTAAATTTTCTTCTTAAAATTTATTTTGAGAGAGAGAGCGAGAGAGCAGAGGAGGGGCAGAGAGGAGAATCCCACGCAGGCTTCGCGCTGTCAGCGCAGGGCTTGGTGCTGGGCTCAAACTCATGAACCGCGAGATCGTGACCTGAGCTGAAACAGAGTCAGACGCTTCACGGACTCAGCCAGGGAGGCACCCGTAAAGCTGTTTGTAAAGAAAGAGTTTTGCTGTAAAGAGGAATGGACAGTCGGGGCGGTAGCAGGAGGAGGTGTGATTATGTTTTAAGCATGAACAAATACCTGCATTAAATACCTGCATGAGGCAGGGCATGAGTGTCATGGGGAGGAGACAGGAAGGCTAAGCCAGGGATCCTGTGAAGGTTACTGTACGTATGTCATGCCGAGGAGTTCGGAATTCATCCCATCGGCCTGAGCTTCTCCACCTTCCAAGGAATCGTCCGGAGAACGTGTTACCAGCACAGCACCACACCACATCCCCTTGCCCCCCCGCCGCCTTCCGATAGCAGCTGAGGTGGGACAGTCCCTGGGCATGCTGACAAGGCACCGCCTCCAGTGCTCCCAGATCTCTCGGCCTTTCTGCTCAGGGTCTGATCCCAAAGCCCCAGTGGCCTCAGTTTGTGTGGTGGGGAGTCAGTGCCCCCAGGGGCAGCCTTCAACAGCGGGGAAGGGGGTCAGTGGACAAACACCCCAGCCTCCCGCCTTGGGAGGGATACTTCTGAGTTGTGTTCTGTGGGTTCCTCTGAGGGCCCCAGTGGAGTGGAACACCGTGTGCATAACAGCCGGGACCGGCTCAGAAAAACACTGCGGGGGGGGGGGGGGGTTTCTCCTGCCCTATCTTACTCTCCCAACTCCCTCTTGGGAACAGCTTTCACATAAGCAACCTGTACTCAACCCTTGTCTCAGGCTCTGCTTTCAGGGCACCTGAAATGACATCTGTGGAACCAGGGGCTCTGCATTTCCTGTGCACATCAGGCTTTCCTGACACAGAGGTCCCAGGAACCATATATTAAAGAACAGGCAGTGAAAAACAAGAACAATTTTGGAAAGGGGAGTGACTGGGCCAGACCTGCTCTTGTAGAGAACGAACTCTGGCAATGTGAAGTTGAGGTTGAAGGCAGCAAGAGACAGGAAGCAGGGAGACCAATTAGCAGGCTATTACCAATGTCCCAGCAGGGAGCAGTGGTGAGAAGGCAGCAATTGGGGCCGTCTCTTTGTGAAAGTCCTTTGATTTATAAAGTATGTAACAGTTCACACAGAAATGACACCAGCCTTATTTAACATCCCCGGTGCTATGGTTTTTTAAAGCTTGCGTTTCCAGCATTCCACATTTTTCTTTTTGATCTTCCGCTTCCAAAATGTGATACGTCAGCCTGGTGCCACACAGCTTCATTTTGTTAAATTTTGTGTTTTCAGGATCTTGACATTGGTGCCAAGCACATGAAGCTTTATGTCAATAAAAAGCTCATCTTTGATGGCACGTTGGACAAAGGAGGTGGAGAGGGCCCAGCTGACCTGAGCGTCCTGGTTGGCCAGAAAAACAAGAAGGAGGAAAGAATGGAGAGGACCGTGGGTGCCCCCTCGGGAGAAGGCGGAGATGCCTGCAAGATGGCTGGCACAGATGGGGCCCACTCACAGCCAGCTGGAGCAGCGGTAGATGTGAAGGTTTCTTCCCAAGGAAAGTTATTTGGCGAAAAGATGAATCCTCCCAATTGCACGAAAGACAATTCGTCCAAGTTAAACGAAGACACGAGCTTATTAGCAGCCCCAGCCCCGATGCCGGCCTCGATGGGTGGCGTGCCCCGTCCTCCTCCCCTCCGCCCGGCTGCGGAATGCCCTGCCCTGGACCCAGAGCCCTCTCTGATCCAACAGCTGGAAAACCTCACAGGCAGAAAAGTCTCCGAACCACCAGCAAAAACTCCCTCCTGGTTGCAACCTTCTGCCGCGGGGAAGGGCAGGAAGCAGGGAGGCAGGAAGCCAAAACCTCTATGGCTGAGTCCCGAGAAGCCACTGGACCGGGAAGGCGGGCTTCCATCTGATGACGTCATTGGCGCCAGGGGTGAGGGTCCTAGAGAGGCTGAGATCGGGGATAAAGGCCCCAGGCGTGAGCAAGGGCGAGCAAGCAGCTGGAATGTCATCGCTGGGGAGAGAGCCCAGAAGGTGACCCCCAACGTCTGTGACGACTTTGACATCTTTAACCAGCCCTCCAACAGAGAGCGCCCTGCTAGTGGGAGGAGGGGCCCGAGGAAGGACGCCCTCAGCAGCGGTCACAGTGATGGCCAGCCAACCAGCAGAGGTAAGCTTGAGAAGCGGTCTGACCCGGGTGCCATTGTCCCCATGATACCATTTGCTCCATGGACCCCAGATAAGGGCCTCCTCATCTGCAAAGCAAGGGGTTTCGGAGGGACAGAGAGAGAGAGATTGAGAGACAGAATCGGAAGCAGGCTCCAGGCTCCGAGCTGTCCGCACAGAGCCCGACCCGGGGCTCGAACTCACGGACCGTGAGATCATGACCTGAGCGGAAGTCAGACGCTCAACTGACTGAGCCACCCAGGCGCCCCTCCCTTCCTTTTGTGAAGAGAAATCAGAGACATACAATATTATTTTTCAACAATTGGCAACTGATTGATATTATTTTTATTTTTTTTTTAACTTTTTTTTTTTCAACGTTTTTTTTTTTTTTTTTAATTTATTTTTGGGACAGAGAGAGACAGAGCATGAATGGGGGAGGGGCAGAGAGAGAGGGAGACACAGAATCGGAAACAGGCTCCAGGCTCTGAGCCATCAGCCCAGAGCCTGACACGGGGCTCGAACTCAGGGACCGCAAGATCGTGACCTGGTTGAAGTCGGACGCTTAACCGACTGCGCCACCCAGGCGCCCCTCCCTTCTCCTTTTGTGAAGAGAAATCAGAGACGTACAATATTATTTTTCAACAATTGGCAACTGATTGATATTATTTTTAAACCACTAGGTGGGTCAAAAAAAAAAAAAATCTCCTGGGAGGACTCACCTGTTTTGTCAACTTTGCAGTAGATTATACGTGAGCAGTCTGAAAGGAGGGTGCCAAAGACTGGGTTTCTGACTATTTGCACTCAGATCTGGCTACTGGGAAGGCGGGCAGCATAACAGCTACGAGTCGAACCATTTGAATCCAGCCACTGCGACTTTGAGCTCTGGTACCTCTGGGCTGGGACTTACAGAGCCTGGCATATCCACTTTCTGAGCCTCAGTGTCCTCCTCTGTAAAATGGCACCAGTAACACCCATCCCCGTGGGAGGATAAAATGAGGTCATACGTGTGCAGCGTCGGGCACAAAAAGGCACCCGGAAGGTGTGAGCTGTTGCTCTTCATCACCGTCACGCCCCCCCCCCCCCCGCCCCCGACCCCGGGATTCTGCCTCCTGGTGTATCTCTGTGCAAAGCCAGGGAATCTATTTCCTAGCGAATCAGGTCGGCATGTCTGTTATTACTGTCCAGAAGACAGACCCCGGGGCCCCTGGGTGTCTCTGTCAGTTCAGCTTTGGACTCTTGCTTTCAGCTCAGGTCACCATCTCATGGTTCGTGGGATGGAGTCTCTGGGATTCTCTCTCTTCCTCTCTCTCTGCCCCTCCTCCACTCGCTCTCTCAAATACACTTAAACAACAACAACAACAACAACAACACCCCAAAGGTCTGTATTCGGCCCACGTCTACACTCAGACATGCAGAGAATCGGTGGCCTCTTTCAGACCCCCGATGTCACCTGGGGCACCCAGGCAGGTCCCTCGGACTCAAGGTGCCTTTCCGTGTGGGCCAAGGGCTCCCTTCTTCCAGAGCTCCTCCCCCCACCCCCCACCCCCACCTGGAGTTAACCCTGAGACTGGGTGAAAGGGAGGAGAGCAGAGCAGACGTGGGGGTGCTCTTTGAGGGTAGGGGCCCCGGGGGCCTGACACATGGTGGGTCCTCTGCAGTGGGGGAGGGGAACTGCCGTGGCTGGATGCCTGGCGTGTGTGTGTGTGTGTGTGTGTGTGTGTTAAGCTGGGCTCTCGTCCAGGCACGCTACTCAAATGATCCTCATTTCCTCCTCACGCCAGCCCCATTTTACAGCTGAAGAAAATGTGAGGTTTAGGTAACGCTCCTCAGGTCACGCAGCCAGGGAAGGTTGGAATGGGATTTGAACCCAGGCCAGCCTGCTCCAGCATCCGTGCCTCAAACTACCACCCCTTTGGTGCCCCACCTCCGCAGCGCCCCTGGCCAGGGAGAGCCGGGCACCGTGGAGCCTTCCTGGTAAGACAGACCCCGCACAACCTCTGGGAGCTCCGAGGTGACGGGTGTTATTCTGACTTGTCCACGTTCAGAAGATTCTTCTCTCATTTTAATTTCTTTCCAGGCATTTCACTGCTTGGCTCAATGACACATTAAGAACCGGGCCCTTGAGATTTAATGCTTGTTAAGCCAGTCATGCTAAAAAGGAAAGTTGCTTAGAAATTTTAAATTACCCATTACGTAGAGCCAAATCCCACAGCCGTGCCCTTCAGGAAAGGCGCAAGGCAGAGCCCTCCAACGACGCTTGTAGAATGGTTGACCGCCTGAGTTCTTCCCTGGGACTGGAGTCATGGTGTCACCGAAAGACAGAGCTTGGCAATCCTTTTGTCTGACAGGGCCTCTCATTATAATGTCATCCACATCTTGGAAGGGTCCGCATCAGGGGTCCATTGGCTATGGGGGAACGAAATCACATCTGCCCGGTGGGAGCACTGACCCTCCGGAAAGCCGGCGTGCACCCAGGAGACGTGGCCGCGACTCCCCGGGGCTGCCGGGCCCTGCCTCTGCCACGTTCCCTCACTCTTCCTCATGAGGTCAGCTGCCCCTGCTCTTTCCTGGGGGTGGGCAACGGCCTCACCGCCGGGGAGCAACGGTTTCCGGCTGTGGCTCCCAAAGTCTCACGGGAGCCGCTGATTGGTCGACTTGGGTCAGGTGACCACTCTTGGCCCAATCGGCTGTGGCTGGAGGCTGTTCACCTTGAACACGTATGGCTCTGCCGTGTCTACGTTCGTTTTCATTTCCCGTTTTAGTAACAATGAGCCCATACCCCACGGGGGTGCCGTTGATTTTCCTAAGCTCGGGTTTAGAACTCCGTGCTCCATGTTTACGTCCCTCCGCCAAGAGGTGGTTTTAAACCTTAAATCCGCCATCTCATACGGGTACCCACCCCCCCAAGACTGTGTCGACTGCACGTGAAAGCAGCAGCAGCAGCTTTGTGGTGTCCGTTCGGGGCTGTGGGCGGGGAGGTTGACAACGACAAAGCGCGGATCACGGCAGCTCCCCAACTCCCGGGGAGCAGTGACCGCGTGTTCTGCAGACAGAGGGAAACGTGGGCCAGCCTGCTGTCACATCCGAGAGGTCCAGGTGAAGGCCCGCACGTCTCTGCGTTCGAAACCCAGAGCGTACATCTCGAGGAGAGTAAGTCGGGAACGCAGACGCAGAGTGAGGGCAGAGTCCTGCCTTTCTTGGCCACCCAGGCCGAGAAACACAGGCCGAGTCCCTGACACAGGACGTCCGTTCTCTCTCCTCCACGCACTTGCAGACCGACCCCCAGGCCATTCATTTCAGTCAGTGGAAATCAAATCACAATAAACTGATGTCATGACGATCCATATGGGAAGTTCCTTCTGCCAGATGTTAAGCCTCGCACCTGGAGGAAAAGAAGGAAGAAACTCCTAGGGTCTTTTTTGATGGCAGATGAGGAGGGGAGAGGACAGGTGTAGGCGAGCTGACAGGTGGAAGCCGGGGGCGGAGTGGGGGGGGGGGGGCGGTCCCTCGGCTCCGGGCCTGAACCCAGGGGTTGCATGACGGCGACGCCAGCCAGCCGTCCCTGTGCTGGCAAACATGAACTGAGCACTTACGTGCGCCAAGGTCTATGGGACACACCCGGGGAACGGGGCAAAGGAGGAGGCGGGGACAAGATGGGCAGGCACGTGGGGATCCGGGAGAAGAGCATTCCTGGGAGAGGACACTGCAAGGATACGCAGGAAGAGACTTGGGGTGTCCATGGAACAGAAAGGCCGGCACGGTGGAGCTGATCGTCAGGGAGGAAGGTATGAGGCGTGGCGGCATGGTGAGGAGTCAGATGCTTCCCAGCAAGGTAGAGACAGTGGCAGTTGGGGGGTTTGGTGACAAATTCCCTTTGAGGCACACGGAGTTTGGAGTGACAGAATGGACATGTCTCGGCCTTCCGAGGAGTCTTTGGAACTGGACGGTGGTGGCCGGGGGAGACAAGCCAGAACTTGATGCAGAAAATCGAGCAGTGCCTGCCTGGCAGCCAGGAGCTGGCTGGGTGAGGCCAGAGAGGAGGACCGGAGGGGGCCGAGGCCTCCGGTCGGGGCAGGGCAAGGGCGTGGGGAGGCTGACAGCAGCAGAAACAGCAGCGGAGAGCCCGGAAGTGCCAACGCTCCTGAGCAGGCGAGGAGGGACCGCCAAGTGGAGGAGCTGTGTCTGGGATGTGGGGCATGAGGACTGAGGAGAGATCGAGTGCACGGAGTCATCGTGTACGTGCAGAAAGTCAGCGCAGGGGAGGGTCGTGGGAATTATAGGACTCCTATGGAGGCAAGGGACAGAAAGCCACCAGGGGTTTGGCTTCAGGCATGGCTGGATCCAGGGGCTCAGATGATGTCATTGGGGCTCTCCATCTCCTGGCTCACGTCCCCGGTGTTGGCTTCGTTGTCAGGCAGCCCCCCCTCCCACACAGCGCAGCAAGCTGGCCAGCGGCACTGCACGCTCACGTCCGATATCCTGCAGCAGATGGGAGCCACTTAAAAATTTTTTTTAATGTTTATTTTATTTTTGACGTTGAGACAGAGCATGGGCGGGGGAGGGGCAGAGAGAGAGGGAGACACGGAATCCGAAGCCGGCTCCAGGCTCTGAGCTGCCAGCACAGAGCCCGACGCGGGGCTCAAACCCACGAACTGTGAGATCATGACCTGAGCCGAAGTCGGACGCTCAACCGACTGAGCCACCCAGGTGCCCCAGAGGAGAGCCACTTCAAAGTGAGCCCCCCTCTCTCCATAGTTCCCTTCCCAGCCTAGAAGGGCACCGTCGGGATTTGCCTCATCTGGATGGTCTGAAGGCGGGGTGATCCCCAAAGGAAAACCAGGAGAAGGGCAAGCGGGGTTTGGGTGAGCCCAACAGCAACTCCACAAAGAGGCCCCAGCTTGCAGGGCTTGAGGGAGAAAGAACACAGTGGCCGCAGCAAAGGGAAGTAGAAAATGGGGGGGGGGGGGCTGTTGGAGGAAGTCATGAGATCAGGTCTGGCTTCCTTTTTCTTTCAGGTGGGAGAGATTTATGCGCATCTGCAGGCGGAGAGAGGGCAAGGTGCCAGTGGGGAAGAGATGATTGAGGGTTCTGGAGAGAGGGGATAATCGATGGAGCCGGGCCCCCTAGGAGACAGGCAGAAAATGGAGTGCAGGGCACCATCCGATATGAAAGGAGAAAAAACAGAACGTGCGTGTCAGCTGCTGTTAGCCGTGGCGTGGCCGCGAGGGCAGGGCCGCTGCTTGGTGCGCACGCTGGGCCCTTTCTGTTCCGCGAGGAGGAGAGCGCAGCCTTCGGAGTGCGCCTCTGAGGGCCCGACTGTGTTCTCCGTGTGCTGGGGACGCGGGCTTCCGATCTGGAAGCCAACCTAGCCACGCACAGAAGTAAATTCCTTGCTTGTAACATACCTGTGTTGTTGGCAGTTTCTATAGCACCTTCTCCCGGTTATAAAAATAACACATCCAGGGAACTCGGAAGATCAGGTGACAAAGAAGCTAAAAGCCCTTCCTACTCCCGTCCCAGAAAGGCTCGTGGTAACACGTTGGTGCGCACCGCCCGTGCTAGGATCTGCTGCATCTGACAGTCGCGGGTCTGGCTTTTTCCCACTCGGCGTTCTTTCACGAGCGTTCCACCTGCCGTTAGGCAGTCTTTGAAGACGCTGTCCAAGTCACGTGACGTGACAGGCTCAGAGCAGACCCCCTGGCTGCTGACTCAGGCGCGACTGGCGGTGGCGTGACCCCCGCCCGTCCTGTGAGTGTCTGACACGCCGGATGATTTCCAGCAAAGGTTGTCACACAACAAAGTGTCTTCCCTCGATTAGCATGGCAGTTGCCTTAGGAAATTCAAAGCGTCTTTTCGGGAGGCCTGGGTGGCTCAGTTGGTGAAGCATCCGACTCTTGGTTTCGGCTCAGGTCATGATCTTGCGGTTTGTGAGTTCGAGCCCCGCGTTGGGCTCTGTGCTGACGGGGCAGAGCCTGCTTGGGCTTCTCTCTCTCTCCTTGTCTCTCTGCCTCTCCCCTGCTTGTGCGCATGCTCTCTCTCTCTCTGTGTCTCTCAAAATAAATAAACTTAAGAAAAAAAAATTCAAAGTATATTGAAAAATACTTTGCTTTTTGTAAAACAGCCAGATTCTAGACTTCAGTAACCATCATCAGTTTTTTACCAACCTGAATGTGGCATGTGACAGGAGGCCCCGACTGTCCTGCATCGGGCAGGATACTAACATCCCGGTCCCACCCATCAAAGGCCAGAAGGGCCTCTAGGCATTGAGACCCCAAGAGCCACCCCACTGATCTCTAGAATGCCGCCCCCCCCCCCCCGAGGGCGACCCCACCTGGCCGAGAGCCCCTGGGTGAGACAGCCTGTAAAGGTCCCTGCTTGCACACAGGGCACTAATGGGGCTTCACCCTCCTGTGTTCTTCCAGAAGACGCCCGGTCCACCGAGACGCCGCCACGACCCCGGTGGTGCAGTGAGCAGGAACACACGCTGCATGAGTCCTGGGACTCCCTCAGTGCCTTTGACCGCTCCCACCGGGGACGCATCTCCAACATGGAGCCACAGGGGGACATCCTGGACGAGTTCCTGCAGCAGCAGAAGGCCAGCCGGCACGGCGAGCAGCCGCCCCCGTGGAAGGAGGAGAAGCTGGGGCCAAGGAGAGGCCGGGAAGACAGTCCCGTAGAGACGGACGACGCGAGTGACTTTGAAATCCCCGTCTTGCCTTACGGACAGCGCCTGGTCATCGACATCAAGTCGACGTGGGGGGACAGGCACTATGTCGGCCTTAACGGAATAGAAATATTCAGTTCCAAGGGGGAGCCGGTGCAGATCGCGAACATTCAAGCCGAGCCCCCCGACATCAATATTTTACCGGCCTACGGGAAAGACCCCCGCGTGGTCACCAACCTCGTCGACGGGGTGAACAGGACCCAGGACGACATGCACGTCTGGCTGGCCCCTTTCACACTGGGCAAGCCCCACACCATCTCCGTAGACTTCGTGCACCCTTGCCAGGTCGCCCTGATCCGGATCTGGAACTACAATAAATCTCGGATACACTCCTTCCGTGGCGTGAAGGACATCACCATGCTGTTAGACTCGCAGTGCATCTTCAAAGGAGAAATCGCCAAGGCCTCGGGGACCCTGACAGGAGGTACAGTATGTCTGTAAGAATGTTCTGGAAGCCTCTACCTGCCACCCGCTGAGGCTCTGAGGAAACACTAAAGACCCTGGCTCGCCAGTGACAGATGGGTCTCTCCTCTTCCTAGGCCCGGCCCACTCCTCCCCTTTTGCAGCACGGGGGTGTGCGGGGGTGCACGGGTGAGCTGACCTCATTTAAACGTCTCCCCTGGGCGCTGGCCCCACTCAGCTTCCCTAGAGCCTCAGTCGGAGAAGGGGGAATTCTTCCGCAAGCAACTTATTGAGGGGGTGCTCCCAGGAGAGCCTGTGGTCCAAGGAGAGAGACAGGATAGGAATGAGGGGAAGCCAGGCAAGGATACAATTTGGGAGAAGCCCAGCCTCAGCCCGATCCCAGAGAGAGCTCTGGAGCTTAAACTGCAAAGTCCGTCCTTCCTGAAAGCAAAGCAGAAGAGCTCTGGAACCCTGCAGGCTCCCTGGTTTGGGGGTGTCACTCCCACGCCCTTCCAGGCAAGCCTCCAGCCCCCCAAAAAAGGATCGGCAGGGGTCTGGGTGGGGGTCCCAACAGCATCCTGCCAGGATGCCTCGCCTACTTCAGGACCGATCACCATGACCCTCCTTAGATTAGATGCCTTCATTGATCTAGGCCACGGGAATCCCATTTGCGGTGGGTGAATAATAAATAATGAGGTTTGCTTACACAAATCGGGGACGGTGGGTGGTTTGGGATTTTCTAGCACAAAGGTTGATGGGTTTGGGTTCCCGGTCTACAAACTATTTGGATTTGGGGTGAGTCGACTCTTCTGTCTTCCTTGTGACCCATCCAGCCCCAGAGCACTTTGGAGACACCATCTTATTCACGACCGACGATGACATTCTGGAGGCCATATTCTGTTCTGATGAGACATTTGAC